AGCCACTGCAGCATGTTTGATTCTCAGCCAGGGAGTCTTGAGTCCTAGAAAATATACTTCATAGCCATTATATATATTATTAAGATTTATGTTATTTTTTTATGCATGCAAGAACTGGGGTACATGCCAGAGGTGCAGGGGTGGTGAAAGGAATCACCAGAGACAGAGTAGGGAACAGAACAGGCAGATTGACAAAGTACACTGCTGAAGGGGAGACAGGAGAGGTCAGCAAGCCATGTGGGTCACCTCCCTGGCTAGGATCAAACTCAAGCTGAAGTGGCTGTGCCTGGCTTCGCAGTGAGTGCTGTGCTTTAACCCATTGCATCACCAGGGAAGGCCCAGAAAAGCAAATTTAATGTAGCTACACAAAAAATGCTACTCACCAATTCAAAGAAATAGACTGATACATGGATGTACTTACATAGACACACCTGAAGATATTATGCCGAATGAAACAATCCAGGCATGAAAGACCATATAGTATATGATCTATTTGTATGAGTGTCCAAATAAGGCAAATTTTTAGAAACAAAAAGCTCAGTGGTTGCCTAAGAGTAAGAGTGGGAATAGGGAACTGGAAAAAAGCAATAGGAAACATTTTGGGGCTTATAGTAGTGCACTAAAACTGGATTGTAGTGATTGCACAGCTGTAAATTTATTTAAAAAAAAACTAATCTTAAATGGATAACTTATATACAATTTAGTGTTCAAAAGATAGCTCTTCACCAACAATTGTGCAAATAGCTTAGTTATTTGTGCACAGTTAGTTTAAAATAATTACATAGTCATTGTGCGAGGCATGCTTCTACAAGGCAATTAAAAGGGGTCCTAACAGACCTATAAGGCCTGACTCAGAAAATGATATTTCAGTGAGATCCAAGAGATAAGTAGTAATTAAATTAAAGGAAAGAATATTCTAGCAAAAGGACCAGCAAGAGCTCAAGTTACAAACAGGAAAGAATATGGCACTTTCTATAAACTGAAATAAATTTGGGGATACAGACATGGGAGAGAGAAATATAGGGTGAGGTTGAGAGTTAAAAAGAGGTTATATAGTTTTGTCCTGTTGTCCATGAAAAGAGTTCTGTTTTTCATATAACACAATGAGGAGTCAATAAAACATTTTAAGGCATGACATAAGCAGATTTTAGTTTTTAAACTACTAATAAAGGCGGGGCACAGGCGATAAGATAATTTTAACTTTTTAAAAAAATTTAAATATAATAGTTTATTTTTACATAATTTTGTGCCTTTTTCCATCTCAGTTGTAATCCCCGTGGAACTTTTTTTTTTAAAGATTTATTTATTTGTACATACAGAACTGGGGTACAGGCCAGAGGATCAGGGGTGGCGAGAGGCTTCACCAGAAACAGAGTGGGGAGCAGAACAGGCAGATGGACGAAGTACACTGCTAAGGGGAGCAGCGGGTGGGTCAGGAGAGGTCTGCCACGCCATGTGGTCCAGGGCACGCTGGGAACGAACTCATGCAGAAGTGGCTTTAGCTTCTCAGTGCTGTGCTTTAACCCGCTGCGCTACCAGGGAGGACCTCCCCGTGGAACTTTTATGGAACTTACCAGAAAAGACATGACAGCAGTTTGTGTGTATGTATAAAGTAAAATTATTACAATCATCAGTATATAATGAAAAGTGCTATAATAGAGACTAACAGGAACTCAAACGTTACCCAGGACCCACCAGGCTTCTCCCAGCTTTTCCTGGCTTCTTGACAGATACCCATTGTTAATCTTTGTTTCATTGAGACTGAGCCCATATACAACTCATACAGAAATTTATCCTTCCATCTTCCTTTCCTTTGGGCCAGTGAAGATGTAAATCTAAACACAAGACCAGTGGCTTCCCTTTCTCAAAAGAAACTACTAAGACTTAAAGGGTATTCATTCTTGTGTAGATATAATCTTTGTTATTGCAAATTAGATTCACCTACCTAGTGTTCAAACAAGACTGAAAATTCTAAAATTTCTCAATAATATATTTTAGAACAGGAATATTAATACATATTATGTAGACAGATATCAATATAGCTCAGGTGTATACTCAGTCTATAGAAGAGCAAGAAATGTGTTTTGCTGTTGTAGTTCTGCAAAGTACCTGCTATATTTTTTTTGGCAGGAATTAATTGTTAAAATAAATTAATCTTCTAAATTTTACATGTACTGTATTCATATTTTTCTTTTTCATATTACTATTATATTTACTATACAAAGCATGATGGAAATGTAGAAAAGGATATGGTTTAAAAACCAAATCAGAATCTTACATATGTTCACTGTTAGAATTTTCATGTCTTACTAGCTTTGTGTAGTCTTTTATCTGTGTGCTTTTGTGTACCTAGTTCTATTTCCTTTGGTACAGGCCAGAGGTGCAGGGGGTGAGAGATTCAACAGAGAGAGTAGGGAGCAGAACAGGCAGATTGACAAACTCCACTGCTGAGGGCAGCAGTGGGTGGCTCAGGAGAGGTCTGCCATGCCCTGTGGTTCACCTCCCTGGCTAGGGATCGAACTCATGCTGTAGTGGCCATGGATAGCTTCGTAGTGCTTTGCTTTAACACATTGCACCACCAGGGAGGGCCTTATAAGTATTTCTAATGCCATTAAAAGTTATTTGAAAGTCTCCTTTATAATGTCTATATTTCATCATTTATTTAGCTTTAATGGGGATACAATTCTCTTTGCAGTGATTGTTGAACCCATACCAGTTGGGCAAGCTGCTAAGGACTATTTAAATTTGTATGTAACACCAACTCTGCTTAAAGGACTCACAGAACTTTGTAAGCAAAAGCCAGCAGATCCTTACGTAAGAATCTTTTCATTCATATTAAATATTGTCTATAT